AAATAAGGTTCAATATTGGCAAATTTAAAGTAATGCACTTGGGAACTAAAGCTATAAATGCAAGTTACATGCAAGGGGAAGAAACTGCAGGGAAATCAAGGATGGAAAAGAATCTGGAGGTCCTTGCGGATCACAGGCTTAGCCATAGCATGCAAAGCAAGGCTACAGCAAGCAGGGCTAGCAGATTATTAGCATGCATTAAATAGGGCATTTACTTCACAAAACTCTAATTCAGCCACATCTTAAGTATCTTGATTTCTGGCCACCAATCAATAAGGACATCCTTGAACTGAAGAGAGTCCAGAAAATGGCAAAAAATCTAATAAGGGGGCTGGAGGACCTCAGTTATGAGGAATGACTACATATAGTAATTGTATTCTCTCTGGTAAAGAGGCACTTAAGAGAGAACATAATAGCAATATACAAATCTTTATATGGTGACTCTAGCATTGGGAGACAACTAATTAATCTTAGGTCTCTATCAAAGACACACAGCCACACAATGAAGTGGGATGAGAAGTGATTCAATTTTAAACTGCATAAAGGGTTCTTTACTATTAGAGCAGTGTCAGTGGAGCATGTAGATGAAATTAAAAACTTGTAGATATGCTTCTAAGCAACCGTAATGTACAAGGCCATGGAAAATGGTAGTGACACACCCACACATACACACTCAGGTCAAACTGAAAGGACTATTTTCTTTATTCAACCTCATGTAATGATATGTAACTGTACATGTTGTAAAACATGGTAGTGTATAATGTAGCTTTACATCATCATTTAAAAAAATGAAAGCTGTTATCTGTCTGTTTACCAACTTGAACAGTACTATCTGATTGGTGAGTTTATTTCCAAACCTATTAATGTATTCCAGTGTTTTCCAAGCAATACTTTATGGTTTTAAGATAACTAACTATGGTCTATTTATCACATTTTTCAAGCACGATTCACACATTTTTCAACAGAATCATAGGTGGAAAATGTATGAATCCTGGGTGAAAGCTGTGTGACTCTTGGCAAAAACATTGGTAAATAGAGCCCCTTAGTATTACTTTTAGACTACTATACTGAGTTTAATTTGACAACCAGGACTATTTCTTGAAAAAGTCAGAAGTACCCCTGTGGGTACACACAACATAGGTTGAGACAGCCTCAAGAAGAACAAAGTATAATACTAATAATGGCCACATATCTTAAATTGTTACAAATACGTGCCAACCCTTCTATCTTTTTATTATTCACAATGTCTTACCTTCCTGATTTTTTTCTATAAAAGATCCAGCGCTATCTCCGTTGTTAAGATTCTCAGGGTATTGAGAGTACTGCGTCCCCTCCGAGCCATTAATCGTGCAAAAGGTCTTAAGGCAAGTAAACTGGCGCAACCTCTGTTTTGCTGATCAATGATTGATATGTTACCTGTACACAAAAGAGCAGCTTACAATTGAATATATTGCACGTACTCCTTAATCCTGTGCATATTTAAGTTTTGTATATTCAAATATGCATGGTGTTAATATTTTCTAATTATAAAAATTCTCTTACAAATTCAGTTGCTACCACAGCAATGAGGCACCAAGAAGTTTCACTGACACTGGTTCCCAGCATGCACCACTCATTTTAGTTGAGTGCTTTAGTGAGGTTGCAATTTAGCAATTAATATTTTTCATAAAAGGTATGGGTGGCAATATTTATCAATATTTATAAATCACAAAAACAGCTTTATATTAAAAGAGTTGTTCCAGTCAAATGTTTGTATTGTTTCATAATTTTAATATATATATATATATATATATATATATATATATATATAATATTAAAACATTGACATGTTATAAATCCTGTATTATGATAATAATATCTTTTCCTCTTGTTACAGCATGTTGTCCAGTGTGTATTTGTTGCCATTAAAACCATTGGAAATATTGTACTGGTCACGACACTTCTGCAGTTTATGTTTTCTTGCATTGGTGTACAGCTGTTCAAGGTAAATATCAAGGAAATAAATTACAATAGATAATATATGCCAAATTGTGCACACAGAGTGTAGCAATGATTGCATAATATTGCCTTTAAAAAGACCTGATAAAAAGTCTTTGTTTTCCAACAATATATAAACAATGTAAAAAAAAATTTTTAACACACAGTATGTCTTCTCTCACACTGATATTTCTTTAAAACCAAAAAAGGTATGTTATCTCCAACTGCTAAGACTCCATATGTCACAGTAGCAATATACAGTAAAAAATGTACAAATGCTGCAGGTATACCAGTAAACCTATACTTTCTCAAATGTACTTAAAATCAAGGCAAGTTGAATTTCTGTAATTTTTCAGGGCAAATTCTACAGCTGCACTGATACAACAAAAATCACAGAGGAAGAATGCAAGTAGGTTCACCTAAAATAGTCATTAATGCCATATGTCACCCTTCCCTACATCCAGTCCCAATATCATCCCTGTTTTTCTACAATTATGTCTCTTTTAATAGGGGGTATTTTTTTGTGGCAAAGGATGGAAATCCCACCCATCTGGAGGCAGTACCCAGAGTTTGGTCACATAGCGACTTCCATTTTGATAATGTGCTTTCTGGCATGATGTCTCTTTTTACTATTTCCACCTTTGAGGGCTGGCCACAGTAAGTATAAGCCAACTAACACTCAATGTTACTCAAACCTTTGTTTTTCTTAAATATAGAAATGGTAATTTTATTAACAGGGATGTTACAGATTATGTAACACTAAAGTTCATATTTATAAAGCAAAGAATCTGTTTATCATTAAACATTTTCTGCAGATGAATCTTCCAGGTCCATGTGTTTTAGATGACAGTGATTGATTCTCCATCAGATAATGTTTCCTGAGAGTCACATTAATTGACATATAAATAAAGGCGTAAGAATAAACTTCTCTGAGCTGGACTTTCTCCGATGTGTCCAATTAGGCACATACTTACGTTCCCTTTCGGCAGAATTTCAGACATTACGTAAACTCACCTCATTTGAACAAACATGCTTCGATGGTAAGCTACTTTCCCATTTCCCATCTCATTTCTATGATCTGTTACTCGACTTGGATGGTCCAACAGAGCTCTTCTTTCTGCAACAGTGGGATTGTGATCTTAACACCTCTTTTTCACAAACCCAGCAAGAACAGACCCTTTGCTTTGCATCTTTTGCAAGCAGATATCAGGAAGAAGGATATAAACTTCTCACACAGTGGTACAAGACTCCAGCTAAACTACATTGAATGTTCCCCCAGGTACCTAACATTTGCTGGCGCTATCAGGAATTGAAAGAACTCTCAGAAATATCTTTTGGGACTGGTTTCTGGGATAAAGTATAAAAAACGATTCAGACCCTGACAGTTTTCCTTCACAAAAAAAATCACTGCATACCTTTTTAATGACTCCCCCTTATCCACCAAGATTTATAAACATTCTTGAGAGAATAGAAAGACAAATATTGGAAGATTTGGACCCCCTGTTTCTTTTATAGGGACCAGACTCCGCTTGCCTCTCAGTGTTAATTTGCCCTCCTGTTCTCTGGTACACCAGGTAATGAGGGTGATAGACTTTGTGGTTGGAACTATCTGAGAGGGAGACAGTTACTGTCCCCTATTCCCCCCTCCCCCCACACACATACACACACCCTCCCTCTCTGTCCTCTCCTCTGTCCCTTCCTCCCTAAACCCTTCCTATCTCTCCATTCTTCCCAATTTTTTTTCCCTTCACCCCCACTCTCCTAACCCCATTCTCAGCGCTTATCTCTGCTTACTACCATTTTTGCTTTATGCACTATACATATGTATTGTTTTTTTTCATGAACTGTAAAATGAAATTTTAAATTTTTTGCTAATTTATGGCAGCATTTTGCTGGGTCATGCAGCCTATAGCATTTACTGAGAAATACGTTGTTTAGCCTTTTATTACTTTCCTGTATACATATATGTCCTGTCATGAAGGGTTTTTTTTTTTTCTCTATACCGACTGGTTACCACTCTAGACATTGCTACCTGAATTCCATTATTAAATAAAGTATTTTTAAAAAAAGAATACATTTCCCTGTGCTCCTTTTTTTGGCTGTGAACTATACAATTGAAAAGGTTTTTTTATATTTGTTCAATAATAAAAAAATACCTCTTGATCCTGCAAGAAATCGAGTGCAGTCCTGTGTCATGTGTTGTTTTCTCAAGCAGTGTTATTAGCCTACCCAGTTTGCTCTGTGTACTACAAACCATACAAACTATATTATAAAGATGAGGAAAGGAGGAAGTGCTTTGTAGTCCTCATACAGTTTCTGTCCTAGGGTAATAACTCTGCTCCCCCATAGATAGAATACAGTGCTTTAGCATTTTTATCTTCAGACAGGAATTGTGTTACTGGCAGTATCACCAAGAGAAAATAAAGGAAAAAATCTGAAAAAGGGAAAACTAATGCAGCCACCACATCTAAAGGACAGGTAGGCAGCAATATATTTGTTTCCCTGAGTTTAGATACACTTCAAATTTCATAAATTAAATTAGATAATTATTGCAACATTATCACAAAAGCAAAATGTGTAAAATTGCTGAAGAGAGCTTTGTATAAATGAGCAAAATACCTTAGGCTGTGGTGGAACTTTGGGGTTAAAAAGCCACTTAATTTATTTTGCCACCACTCAGTGGGTGTTACCTAAAAAACTTCTTTACAAGTGTCTTCCTCATCATTTGTGGTGTCCTATGTTAGTTAGATGGAGTTGAATTTTTAGAATGCTTGTATCTTTGGTATGAAAGAATGCAAAGCTATCACACGAGATACATTTGCAAAGCTGTTAAAGAGTGTAAAAGGAACTAGAAATATGTCAATATTTTTGTAGTGATAGATGTAACTAATACTTTTTATGTTCGTAGGTTATTGTACAGAGCTATAGACTCGCACGCAGAGGATATGGGACCTATCTATAATTACCGCATTGAAATTGCAGTCTTCTTCATTATCTATATCATCCTTATTGCCTTCTTCATGATGAACATCTTTGTTGGATTTGTCATTGTCACCTTTCAAGAACAAGGGGAGCAGGAGTATAAGAACTGCGAACTAGACAAAAATCAGGTAAATACTATGAGGCTGTCATTTCTCATAAGAAACAGTTTATTTTGTAGAAGATTTTGTGTTATATTTTAGTGTTTATCTTATGTTATATTTAAGTCTGTTTTCTCCAACAGAGGCAGTGTGTACAATATGCCCTGAAAGCCCGTCCCTTGCGGCGGTATATCCCAAAAAATCCACATCAATATAAAATCTGGTATGTGGTGACCTCCTCATATTTCGAGTACTTGATGTTTTTTCTTATTACACTGAACACCATCAGTCTTGGTATGCAGGTAAACATTTATTGTCACTGCCTCTTTATCAATTCATCAAGCATGACTACATAAAATAGCTTTTTCCATGTCTCCATATTGCATTTTCACCTTTATTTACCAATATTAATTCTGATTAGCCTCACTTTATTGTCCTGTTTTCACTTCGAATTGGGAACAAGCATACAAAATCCTCAATTACACCAATTCAGAATTGCATGAAATATTGTGTGGCTTAGATAGCATTATTCAAATTAGAAATATTATTATATCCATTTGAGTTTTTTCTAGAGCTTATCGTGTAATGATTTTTTAAAACAAAGAAACAAGTGCACAGACATCTCAGTTGCGCCCAGAGCCCTATGCTTGTCTGTATGACTAATGCCACACAGTTACGGTTTCTAGCAATACAATTAAACTATACTGTATGTGGTTTTGGTACAACTTGATTATAGTGTCATTGTACCATGTTTTATTCAGTTGGGAATCTTGTGTAGTAGCTTTTGACTGCTATGGTCATCCTTAGTAGCAATACCTCGCTAAGCTGGTATACATATTCCCAGGTTTGTGTGAATGTGATGGATTTTTTTTTGTTTAAAAGTAAATGTACAATGTATAATATAGAGTACTCTTTAGGCAATAGCAATCTAGATTTTTAATGGATGCTCCAGGGGCGGACTGAAAACTCATGGGGTCCCCGGGCAATAAGGGATCATGGGGCCCCTGTGTCCTTGCCCAAACTCAAAAAAGCCTATGAAAAAGGTACCAGAGGCATCTCATGGGGCCCCCTACTGACCCCGGGCCCTCGGGCAGTGCCCGAGTTTCCAAATGGTCAGTCCGCCCCTGGGATGCTCTATACAACAGTGCTATTTCTGTTAAAGTAAAACAATCACAAACCCAATTCAAAGAGAACATATGATAAAAAAAAAAAAGTTACCTTCAGTCAAAGCTGCATGTCAAAATAATCAGTAGACATAGAGATATAGGAAGCTGAAGCTATAAACTAACATTTTATGTACAATTCAAGCTAGGCATGTGTATAATTGGGAAATCCCGCTTTCAAGCCTCCCTATGACCACCATTCCTGACCCTAAAATGTGATGGCAGTCTCTCTGACTAATACACTGTGTGCACAATTATTAGGCAAGTAAGTATTTTGGCAAAATCATCATTTTTGCATATTGCCCAACTCCAAGCTGTATAAACTTGAATGCGTATTGGATTTAAGCATATCAGGTGATGTGTATTTGTGTGGTGAGGGAGGGTGTGGCCTAAGGAGATCAACACCCTATATCAAGGTCTGAATAATTATTAGGCAGCTTCTTTTCCTCAGGCAAAATGGGGCAAAAAAGAGATTTACCTGAACCTGAAAAGTCAACAGTTGTAAAAGGTCTTTCAGAGGGATGCAGCACTCTTGAAAATTTCTAAGATATTGAAGCGTGATCACTGTGTTTATATGGGACATGTAGTGTACCACTGCCATCTAGTGGCAAACATGTATGGCAGTTCTCCTCTGGATATGTAAGCTCTCAGACAGGAAATGACTCTTGGTTTAGGAAGCTCGTCAGCCATTTTAGACTTCTATTCACTGGGGATGCAGTGTGCTTGCTTCTCTCCCAAGGGGCTTGAGACATCATCACCTGTAAGTGCCTTTCTTCTGTGTCATCTGTCATTTATGTTACACTAGTTATTCTATGTATACTGATATGCTGTTATTGTATTGTGTTTCAGTTTCACCTATAAAATAAAGTTGGATTCTTTGGTAGACAACACAAGCAGTGGGCTTCTGTTTGCTGGAGATTCTGACAAGGGTTTAGCTGTCCGTTTAGAGCCACACATAGTCAGTGTTTTGAGAACGGAACAGTGAAAAGGTGAAGCGCAACAAGCCTGGAGATAGGAGTCACTGCACAGACAGAATGAGTCTAAGATCAGGAAGACAGTATAAGGCTGAAGATCAGTCACCCGGGACACATCAAGGCAGGGAGAGCATGCCAAGTGTCCAGCAAGATGATGCACGCTCTCACACTCGTCTAGATCAGCAAGGTCCAGTCAGATTTCATCAGCAAGTGCCCTTTTAGCCAGAGCTCGCGCCAAAGCAGAGGCAGCTCGTGTTCAGCTAGAATTCGCTGAGAAAGAGGCCACCGTTGATGAAGGAAATTGCTGAGAAAGAAGCCGCCGCTGCAGCAGCAGAGGCTGCCATTATAAAGGAAAGGGCTGAGAAAGAGCAAGAAGAAAAAGAAAAATCAGAACAAGAAGCAAAGTTGCATATTCTTCAGCGTCAGTGTGCAGCCGCCGCCGCCGCAGCAGAGGCCGCAGCTTATGCCGAAATGGAACGGTATGGAAGTGGGTCTATCCACGAAGGCCCATATGTGCCTGAGAAACCCCTCTCCTCAGTAGAACGCACAAGGGAGTATGTCCAAGAACATTCAAGCAGCAATGCAACAAAACAGTTCCCTAATCCAGAGTCAGCTGAATCTAAACCAAGACCAGCAGAATCCCTGAGTGTACAAAAACAAACCAATCCAGAATCAGCTGAATCTAAACCAAGACCAGCAGAACCCCTGAGCGTACGAAAACAAACCGATGAGGCCAGCAGTACCAGAGCGATTAAAAATGAATCCTTAGTACAGCAATCCAAACACCAGAGTACACAAGATGTCACTAAATATCTTATCCGTAAAGAAATGGTTAATTCGGGCTTTCTCAAGTTTGATGACTGCCCTGAGAATTACTGGGCATGGAAGTCTTCTTTTCTGTATGCAGTCAAAGACTTAGGCTTATCAGCAGCCGAGATGCTGGACCTGATGATAAAATGGCTTGGGACGGAGTCAGCAGAACATGCAAGAAGGATGCGCAGGGTACATATATTTAACCCTCCAGCAGGACTTGATATGGCCTGGCAAAGGCTAGAGGAAAGATATGGATCACCAGAGGCAATTGAAGGTGCTCTAATGAAAAGACTTGAGTCTTTTCCCAAGCTAAACAGCAAAGACAACTTGAAACTGCAAGAGCTGGGTGATATTCTTTGGGAAGTCCAGTGTGCCAAAGAAGAAGGCTATTTAAGAGGACTTGCACATTTAGATACCGCCAGCGGTACTAAGCCAATAGTGGAGAAACTACCTCACAACCTGCAAGAAAAATGGGTGAGTGTTGGAGCCAAATACAAAGAAGAATATGATGTCCCCTTCCCCCCTTTCTTTGTGTTTTCTAGATTTGTACAGCAGCAAGCAAGGATCCGGTGTGATCCCAGCTTTTCCTTCATCACCAGCAGTCAACTGCCAAAGGCAGAAAAGCCACTTAGATCCTACAATAGGACTTCAGTGATCGCCCACAAGACAACGGTTCCCTCTGAGGACCCAGGCTGTCCAAGCAGCTACAAGGTAAACACCTTTGAAGGTCCTGACAGACTTTGCCCACTTCATAAAAAGCCCCATCCTCTAAACAAGTGCAAAGGGTTCAAAAGTAAACCCATCAAGGAAAGGATAGCCTTTCTTAGACAAAACGGCATCTGCTTCAAGTGTTGTGGATCCACTAAGCATCTAGCAAAAGACTGCAAAATACAAGCGGATTGCTCAGAATGTGGCAGTAACAGACACATCACAGCTTTACACCCTGATACATTGCATCAACCACTAGAGGTCGCTGAAGAGCAGAAAGATGAGGGCAGGGAGCAAAAGGATAATTCAGCTACCCCAGTAATGTCCAAATGCACTGAAATCTGTGGCGACAGTACAAGTCCACGCTCATGTGCCAAGATCTGCCTAGCAACAGTGTACCCCACAGGGAAAAAGGAGAAGGCAGTTAAGATGTATGTAGTTCTGGATGAACAGAGTAACAGGTCACTGGCAAGGTCAGACTTTTTCGATGCCTTCAACATTACATCAAGTGCTATCCCATACACCCTAAAGACATGTGCAGGAATGATAGAAACTTCAGGAAGAAGAGCTACTGACTTTACTATTGAGTCTCTTGACAAGAGAGTCCATCTCTCACTTCCCATTTTGATAGAGTGTGATATGATACCGGATGATAAAACAGAGATCCCTTCACCAGAAGTAGCCCGTCATCATCCTCATCTCAATTCAATATCTCACCTTATTCCAGCTATCCAGACAGATGCCTCTATTCTTCTACTTCTTGGGAGAGACATTCTACAAGTACATAAGGTACGCCAACAAATTAATGGGCCCTTTAATGCCCCCTATGCCCAAAGACTTGACCTAGGGTGGGTCATAGTAGGAGAAGTTTGTCTAGGAGCAGTACATCGGCCTGACAGTGTCAATACGTCAAAGACATCTGTGCTACTGAATGGACGCACATCCCTTCTAAGTCCATGCCAAAACAGCTTTGTTGTGAAAGAAACCCTTAACATCCCAAAACCATACTGTGACTTTCCTTCTAGTTACAATAGAGACATTAGTAGTGGCATGGAGTCTGACACTTTAGGGAACTCAGTATTCCAGAGAACAAAAGATGACGACAAACAAGCAATGTCTATAGATGATCGAGCTTTTCTCCATATCATGGATAAAGAGACTTTCCAAGATGAAAACAACAATTGGGTAGCTCCCTTACCCTTTCGCACACCAAGGTGTTACTTACCCAGTAACAGAGAGCAGGCCTTGAAGCGCCTGAACACACTATGTAAAACCTTGCAAAGAAAGCCTGAAGTGAAAAAAGACTTTACAGAATTCATCAAAAGGATGCTTGATAATAATCATGCTGAAGTAGCACCGTCACTGGATGAAGGTAAAGAACACTGGTATCTGCCAATGTTTGGCGTTTACCATCCACACAAGCCAGACCAAATAAGAGTTGTGTTCGATTCCAGTGCTCAACATGGAGGTGTTTCATTGAATGATGTACTACTGAGTGGCCCAGATCTAAATAACACACTTCTGGGTGTCCTCTTACGCTTCAGGAAAGAGCCTATTGCTTTCACAGGTGATGTGCAACAGATGTTTTATTGTTTCCTAGTGAGAGAGGACCATCGTGACTACCTGCGTTTCCTGTGGTACAAGGATAATGACATAGCTAAAGAGGTGACAGAGTACAGAATGAGAGTACATGTTTTTGGTAACAGCCCGTCTCCTGCTGTTGCCATATACTGCATGCGCAAAGCTGCCCAGAAAGGTGCAGAATGTTATGGTCAAGATGCCAAACACTTTGTGATGAGACATTTCTATGTAGACGATGGACTTGCTTCAGCTAACACACCTGAAGGAGCAGTCGACATTCTCAACAAAGCAAAACAGATGCTGGCGGAGTCTAATCTGCGACTACATAAGATTGCCTCTAACAGCAAACAAGTCATGGAAGCTTTCACCGCAGAAGATAGAGCTAAAGATCTCAAAGACCTGTGCCTGGGAACAGACACCCTTCCTTTACAGAAGAGTTTAGGCCTAAGCTGGGATCTAGATAAAGACTGCTTTGTGTTTTTCAGGTTTCTTTAGCAGAAAAGCCATTCACAAGAAGAGGGATCCTATCCACTGTGAACAGTCTTTATGATCCTCTCGGGTTTGTAGCACCAGTCACCATAAAAGGTAAGGCCTTAGTTCGTGAACTGTCAAGTGGAGAAAGTGAGTGGGATGCCTTACTTCCACAAGAGAGACTCCATGAGTGGGTCCAATGGACAGAGTCTTTACAAGCTTTACAATGTCTTCAAATATCCAGATGTTATGTTCCTGTTTCATTGTCACAGGCCTGCAAGAGAGAACTATACATCTTTTCAGATGCCTCCGTTATAGCAATAGGTGCAGTCGCTTACTTGAAGGTAAGTGATGCAGGAAATGTCTGTCATGTTGGATTCGTAATGGGAAAATCCAAACTGAGCCCTAGGCCGGCACATACAATTCCACGCCTAGAGTTATGTGCAGCTGTACTAGCGGTTGAACTGTATGAGCTAGTGAGAGACGAGATAGACCTGAGCCTAGATGCTGTGAAATTCTTTACAGACAGTAAAACAGTTTTAGGCTATATCTGCAACACTACAAAGAGATTCTTCTTGTATGTCTCCAATCGGGTGAATAGGATCAGACAAACAACCTGTCCAGAGCAGTGGTTCTACGTACCCTCAGAACAAAATCCTGCAGATTATGCTACCAGGCCTACACAGATAGCTTGCCTTCAGAACTCTATATGGTTCTCAGGTCCACCTTTTCTGTATCAGACAGCTGTAGATAATCCTGATGACAACAATGTTTATCCTTTAGTGGATCCTGAAGCTGATCCTGAAATTAGGTCAGAAGTAGTAAACTTCAGTACTAAAGCCTTTGACACCAGACTACGGCCGCATTGTTTCGAAAGATTTTCCAACTGGAAGAGACTAAGCAGGGTTATAGCAAAATTAATTCATGTTGCCAAAAGCTTCCAAAAGAAAACTAATGATGATCAACCCGGAAGCTGGGGAGTTTTCCATGAAAGAGTCAGTTTAGAAGAACTTTCACAGGCCAAAACAGTTATAATTTCTTCTGTACAACACGCATGTTTCAGACAAGAATATGACTGTATTGAACAACAAAGGACACTTCCAAAACAGAGCCGTCTTACAAAACTGAGTCCCTTTGTAGATCAAGATGGACTATTGAGAGTAGGTGGCCGTTTATCCTTTGCCACGCTGCCAGATGAGGAGAAGCATCCTGTCATCATTCCTCATGATCACCACATTGCTACATTGATCGTAAGATATTATCACAACCAGATAGTTCACCAAGGGCGCCACATAACAGAAGGTGCAATCAGAGCTGCAGGTTTCTGGATTCTTGGTGGAAAACGTTTAGTGTCTGCAATCATTCACAAATGTGTCGTGTGCCGTAAGCTCAGAGGGAGATTGGAAAGCCAAAAGATGGCAGAGTTGCCAAAAGATAGAGTCAATCCTGAACCTCCCTTCACTAGTGTGGGTGTTGATGTGTTTGGCCCCTGGGCAGTTGTAACACGACGAACTAGAGGGGGCAGTGCTGACAGCAAACGCTGGGCTGTTCTTTTCACATGTCTTTCTACAAGAGCAGTGCATATAGAATTGGTTGAGTCCATGTCGCATCCAGTTTCATTAACGCTCTAAGAAGATTCTTTTCTGTTCGTGGTCCAGCTAAGTTGATTCGCTCTGATAGAGGTACTAACTTTGTAGGAGCATGCAAAGAGCTGCATATATGCTCAAATGATGCAGAACTTCTAGACTATCTTCAAGACAAAGGATGCACATGGATCTTTAACACTCCACACTCATCTCACATGGGAGGTGCTTGGGAGAGATTAATAGGTGTAGCTAGGCGCATTTTAGATGCAATGTTACTCCAAGCTAAACCTACTCGTTTGACTCATGAGACTTTGAGTACTTTCATGGCAGAAGTTATGGCTATCATTAATGCAAGACCTTTGGTACCACTATCTACAGATCCTGATAATCCTACAGTTCTTACGCCTGCCATGCTCTTGACCCAAAAGGTAGACTTTATCGGCCCCTTATGGGGACTTTAGTACAACAGAACTTCATGTAAAGCAATGGAAACAAGTCCAATGCCTGGCTGATACGTTTTGGAAGAGATGGAGGAGAGAATACCTGTGTACCTTACAAAGTCGCAAGAAATGGACTGAGACCAGTCCCAACGTCAAAGATGGAAATGTTGTTTTATTGAAAGATAGTCAAGAAAGCAGAAACAACTGGCCTGTGGGAATTGTCACAAATACATTGCCAAGTAAAGATGGTAATGTCAGAAAGGTTGAAGTCAAAGTGACAAAACAAGGGACTGCTAAAGTGTATACTAGACCAGTTTCAGATGTCATTGTTCTCCTTTGAATAGCATTTCTGTTGTGTAGTTGGCACAATACATAGCAGAGAGCTCCTCACTGATAGCGTTCAGGCGAGACATTCGCCATTGAGTTAAATTCCATCCTGTGGATTACAATTGGGGTTGGAGATAGTTTGGCCTTGGGCGGCTACTCCAATCCGGAAGATGGGTTTATGGACTAAACTATTTCTTCATGTGGGCCATAAGCTTGAAGTACCATAGCCAAAAGACCCTGATATGTTGTGGACTCATGTTTTAGTTTATGTTACCAATCTAGGCCGGAATGTATTTTCTTATGTGTTTTCCCTGTACAGTAGATATGCATGGGCAGTGATATAATATATTATATCAGGCAGGGAGTGTGTTGCCTTCACAGGCTAATTGAATTAAAGTTACTTATATGGGACATGTAGTGTACCACTGCCATCTAGTGGCAAACATGTATGGCAGTTCTCCTCTGGATATGTAAGCTCTCAGACAGGAAATGACTCTTGGTTTAGGAAGCTCGTCAGCCATTTTAGACTTCTATTCACTGGGGATGCAGTGTGCTTGCTTCTCTCCCAAGGGGCTTGAGACATCATCACCTGTAAGTGCCTTTCTTCTGTGTCATCTGTCATTTATGTTACACTAGTTATTCTATGTATACTGATATGCTGTTATTGTATTGTGTTTCAGTTTCACCTATAAAATAAAGTTGGATTCTTTGGTAGACAACACAAGCAGTGGGCTTCTGTTTGCTGGAGATTCTGACAAGGGTTTAGCTGTCCGTTTAGAGCCACACATAGTCAGTGTTTTGAGAAGATGGATGGACCCGTGGATGGATCAATAACGGCATAGAGCTGCACTTTGACTCAGATGCCACCAATGTGTGGGCTGGTATTATTAAAGGTGAGCTAGTTGGACCTTTTCAGGTTGAAGATGGACTCAAAATCAACTCCTGAACCTACTGTCAGTTTTTAGAAGATACTCTCTTCAAGCAGTGGTACAGGAAAAAGTCTGCATCTTTCAAGAAGACCATGATATTTATGCAGGACAATGCTCCATTGCATGTATGGAAGTACTCCACTGCATGGCTAGAAAGTAAAGGCCTTAAAGATGAAATAATAATGACATGGCCTCCTTCCTCACCTGACCTAAACTCTATTGAGAACTCGTGGGTTCTTAAACTGGAGATTTACAGTGAAGGAAAATAGTACACCTCTTATGAACAGTGTCTCGGGAGGCTTGGTTGCTGCTGCATGGACAAACTCCATGAATGGAAGGCTTATGACTATTAATGAAAAGAAGGGTGGCTATATTGGTTTTTTGTTTTTTTTTTCTAAATGTCAGAAATGTTTGTATATTTGTTGTTTATTGTTGTTTGTTTATCATTCTTACTTTCACAGATGAAAATAAACAAGTGAGATGGGAAAATGTTTGTTTTCCATTTAGTTGCATAATAATTCTAAACACTAAAGCTTCATGCACACTGGGCATTTTAAATAATGCTGGCAACATTAGTTGTGTAAAAACGTGAGTTTTTCAGTATTTTTGTATTAGCGTTTAGTGGCATTTTGCCGTTTTTTGTGTTTTTAGCAATTTTTTACAGGTTTTTTGGGGTCAAAAAAAGTCCAAAAACACTGGTTTGCCACGATTTACTGCGTTTTACCACGTTTTTCAGCATTAGAGCTTTTTTACAGCTAAAAACTCCTCTAGAAACCCACTAGTTCTGGGGTTTTTCTCCATCCAAAAAATGGCCCTACAGTCTATTTGTGCATGGACAGATAGGATAACATGCTGGAGAGTTTACTGCCTGCAGAAAAAACCTCAAAAGCCAAAAACAGCAGCTGTAAAAACGTACAGTGTGCATGAGGACTAATAGGTGCCCAATAATTATGCACACATAGATATTCTCCTAAGAAAGCCAAAACCGCACTTTTACTTTCTTAAATATTCAGGTTTGAGATTTAGGAACAATTTGGATTGAATGAGAGCACTGTAGTTGTTCAATAATGAAATTAATCCTCAAAAATACAACTTGCCTAATAATTGTGCACACAGTGTAGGCTGGCTGAGCAAGAGGCAGATAAGGTTGTCTTTAACAGGAAACTATTTGTTACAGGTTCACTAAAAAGTGTCATTTGATGTGTATGAATCTCTTTGAGCTGTTTCTTGTCATTATACAGCACTATGGGCAGACGGCAGAGTTCAGTTATGTGTCTGACATCCTCAATGTGGCTTTTACTGGGATCTTCACAGTAGAAATGTTGCTCAAGCTGGCAGCATTCAAAGCAAAGGTGGGTTTATAGAAAATTTATACTTTAATAAAGCAAATGCAGAAAGCAATAAATTAGGACCATTTATATTAATGTAATCAAGAATAATATCTGTAATTTTAGTGACTAAGTTAATTATCAGCTTTATTTAATTACGTGCAGTAACCCATACCCAGAATTCACATGCTACGCCAGACAAGTACATGATGAATTCTAATTTTGTAAGGTTACTGCAGTATATAGTGTTGCACATGTATTTTCTTTCTTATTTATTATTTTAAAAACAAAAATGTTATGTTTTTTAAAAACGTTTTAGTCAGGTACATATGAAATGTTGCATATTACATATCTACATTTTTCAAAAAGCAGGTTGAACTCTTTGCACCCTTTCACGTGTTTACCTATTGATTTTTGGCAGTTCTACTGGAAAAAAGACTGTTGTTTACAGAGTCCAAAACCTCATGGAGTGACTTCCACTTCTCCATACACACTTTCAATGCAAAAGAGAGTCTTGAGGAAAGCAGTTTCTCATTTTGGAAAACTCATAATGCTCTGTAAATAATAAACAGTGTAGTGCTAAGCATAAAAACTAATATGATGAATAATATGAAAAAAAATCAAAAAATATAAATACAAGTGAATATAATAAGACAAATTGCCCCCTCACCTCCTTACACTGACCCCAAGGGCCAGCACGATTCAAGGATCACACTGATCCTTATAGGGACAGACTCCTCACAGGTTCTCCCTCAATGGTGGTATGGGTTCCTCACTCCAAGCAATATGATCCTGGGAGAGTTTATGCTGGTAGCTGTGTGGGGAGGTGAGGGGGCAATTTGGCCACTAAAAGATTGCCACGTATTGATCACCTGCACATCATCACTTGCATGAGAGTGAAGTTGGAGCACGTTCATATATGTCTTTGGGACTGGATTATATATATATATTTATTTGTGTGTGGATTGCATTGTATATTGTTTAGTGCTGTTTGCATTTTTGTTTTGTGTAATGTATAACACATAGCACTGGTTTGCACCTATGTTCTCATAGAGGGAATTCACGTGTTTCACTTACTATTTATCTAGCTATTGGATCCCTCTAGTGGGGATTGAGTAGTGTGCACATATAGATATCATTTATATGTCTTAATATATTCACTTGTATTTATATTTTTTAATTTTTTTTTATGTTATTCATCATATTAGTGTTTATGCTTAGCGCTACACTGTGTTTATTGTCACTTTCACTTATTGGGTATAAGTTTAGTATTAGCAGCTTTAGGGTTAGGGCTCCATTTAAGCGCAGGAGGATCTTCTTTATATTTGTGTCCATATTGCTCTGTAACACCTGTGTCATGGGTGCAACCCATTAAATGTTTACAGTTGTAGCGCTCACCCCCGAGGGGCCCCTGAAAATACACAGGTCTCCCTTACATTTGCAGAGGCTGCCAGGCCCAGGTACCAGCTCCAGAGCAGTCAGTCCAGAGCAGGCAGTCCAGTCTATGGGTTATCCTTTTTGAAGTTTTATTGCAGTACTTGAACAGGAGAGAGGGATGAGGGTGCGGGATACTCCAAAACACATGCAGGTATTGGAAGACAGACTCTTCAGTAACAGCCTTAAAGTGTTAGTAAACCCACAACAGTAAAATCAATCTGTTTATGCAGTAAACCATGCTTGTTATACTCACAATGGAACCTAAGGGTTTAATCCTCTGCATTGTGTATAAAGGATGTTTGATCCTGTCTTCTGTGATCCTCCCCTTCTTCTACTGTCCCCAATCCATCTGCTGATAGAACAGAGCCTTGGGGGCAAGCTGCACATGCTTAGTGTGGTGTGTATTGTTAGAGATGTGTTTGTTTTTTTTTTGGGAGAGTGCATGTAATCAGCACAGGTCCAATCAGCATTGTCCAGACAGAGGGTCAGGGGTCATGCAGCCTCTTTGGACAGTCAGAACAGAATTAAAAACTCCTTCTACAAGCTTTAACCATTGCTCAGCTGGACACTGATAGAAGTCACAAGACTGCTCTAACTGCTGATGAGAAAAAGGTATATAGCAGTTCATATTTACTACAGTAATTGCATTTCCATGTTGTGTACACTGTGGGAGACTGGATATAGTAAATGCAGGGTCCTGGTTTAGTAACACTTTAAGTATTGCTGGAGGTAGAGGGGATAGTCAGCTAATCTATAACTCTGTAATAATAATCATAGTCCATGTAGCAATCTCTGGCATTTAATTATCAAAGCACAAGCACCCCTTGAGCTCTAAGCAAGGTCCTGCTCACATTGTCCATAGACAGCTATCCTGTGGTGCTCTTCAGTGAAAGGTTTCCAGCTGAGCTTCAGGCAGTATTTTCCAGCAGATTGCCCTAAATCCAAGTTACCCCTATGCTCTCAGCCAATTACATGATGAGGCCTGACAACAACAGCTCCAGAATAGTAGCGCAGGCTGCCTCACAGGGGCAGAAGCCCAGGAGAAGAGAGCTCTAAACTGCCCTCTTAAACATTTATCTTCGCCCCAGCCACACCGTCTGGGTGGCCCCTCACAGGGATTGACTGAGATAAACTACATATTCATAACCCAGTAGCTAACCCTCATACTCAGGAGTAGTCAAGCTTAGGGAGACCTGACCAGATCAAGAAAATAAATGGCTGCTCAGCTGGGTACAGCAGAGACAAAAACTAAGTTTATCCAGCCTAGGGCAGGGTGCTGCACAGTAAAGGAAAAAAATATAAATATCAGTTTAAAACGTGAAAACATAGAAAATGTAAACCAGAACCCTAAATCCTGAGAGTTTACCTTTAAGAATAAGAAGGACAAAAAAATGACTATATATGGAACTTTAAAGGTGCCCAAATATACAGTATCTACAATATACACCACAGTCAAAAGATTTCCGAACATTTATTCAGTTTCTTCTAAACATTGAAATTCCATAACATTTTGACCATAGTAGCTAAATTATATATATATATATATATATATATATATATGCATATACTCAAACACACACAAAAATGTTCTACAGTTAGGTTGCTCTCACACTACTCCCTTGAAAAAATACATTAAAAACGTATATGCATGTTTTAATGTTTTTTTAATGCGTTTTCGGGTGCATTTTCTGGTTGCTAGATTTTCAATATGCACCTGTAAAACATGGGCATATGTCTCAGAAAATACACCAAAAATGTAACTGTTGTGCATTTTTAATGCATTGCCGACTTCCATTTGTTTCAATGGAGAGCTGCGTTTTTGGTGCTGTTTTTAATAGTGCACCAAAGATGCAGCATGCAGGACTTTATAAAACGCACCACACCCACAGCACAGTGCTTTGAACAGACCCATAGGATTTAAAGGGAAATATGATTATTGCGTTATTAGCAAGGTAAGAGAACATCAAAAAAGCATCAATGTGAGAGCTGCCTAAAAGATTTGTTTCACAGTACATCTTGACCTTCCCACCTTTTAATAAAGTACTCACATCTTTGATTTCATGGCAGGTGGATGCCAAGTCCACATTCAATGAAATAAATGTACAACAAAAATATACTATATATGTATAACACAGAGTAATTTGTAGGAAGTTTGGGATCATGAAATGCATTGTGTAATAACCATTGAAAATAACCCCTGTTATCATCATTCAAAACTTTGGAAACCATCTGGTTTGAAATCAAAGATATAAGTACTTTATTAAAGGGTGGGAAGGTCAGCAGTATACTGATAATATTTTACTTTGGAGAATATTGTATACTTTATTTACAAATCTGAAACTGAATAAATTTATGAAAAAACTTCAAAGTGGTTGTAAACCTCAGACATGAAATATGAACAAAGCATATCCATCTATGGTGCGCACATGTCTAAATTAGGAGCACTAAGTATCATTTCTGTCTGCTGCTTCATTCCTCTGCTATCAGCATGAGTTACTTCTGACAAGTTTCCTGACAACCAGAGAAAAATGGTGACGGGGAGGGACCTCCAGTGGATTGAGAGGCTCAGCTCTGTTTCTGTGAGCTGTGTGGAGGGGGAATGTGTCTCTTCTCTTCAATCAGCTTGCAGAGCTCCCCTCACTGAGCTCTATAGAATGTAATGACAGCTTTCTTGAACAAGCTTTATGAATTCAGCACTTTGAACAGATGTAGAGAAGGGAAGACTGCAGATGAACAGTTACTTAACAGTATGTAGGAGGATTTGTTTCATCTCTGTCTATTACCTAAGACCAGTCAGTTCACTGGGTATATATAAGAAATTAACTACCACTTTAACTGTGGTGTACATTTTAGATATATTTGGACACCTGCAAAGTTCCATATATGGTCAATTTTTTTGCCCTGTTTAATTTGAGTGATGTTGGGGCCCATTTGTGCGATTTCGGTGGTATATATTTATATGGTTCTTTAAGAATAAGAACTCTTTACTGAAATAAGATTGCACATTTTTTTGTAAATAATGCATTCTTTTTCACTTTTTAGGGCTACTTTGGAGACCCCTGGAATGTTTTTGATTTCCTGATTGTTATAGGAAGCATAATCGATGTCATTCTTAGTGAGATTGATGTGAGTAATGGTAATCATTTAATTAAACTACAACAACAACAGCAGAATATACAGTATATGGGCATTCTACTAAAGGCTCACTAGGCAAACTGTACCTAACCCTATTGTGTACATGATTGGAAAACTATAGCCTTCCTCTACTTAAAGATGCAGCTGACAGCTAGGGACAGTTAATTGCAATGAGAATGGTTACTTTTCAGCCCCATTTGTTCTAAAAACCTTTACCAAATCACTACCAAAGTGAGTAGTTAGACATTTGCTAATAATAGCTGATGGATCCAAAGGTGAAAATGGATGAAAAAATACAGAAGCAGTTCCCTATAAGAAGAAAGAAGAAATACAATAACAGTAAATAAAGAAATAAAAATATTACATTTTCATGTAAATAGGCACATCACTGTTTTTATCATAGGACATACAGTGGGGAAAATAATTATTTGATCCCTGCAGATTTTTGTTTGCCCACTTACCAAAAAATGAAGAGTCTATTTTTTTTATCATATGTGTATTTTAAATGATGGAGATAGAATATCAACCAAAAATCCAGAAAAAACACATAATACAAATGTTATAAATTGAATTGTAGCTCAGTGAGTTACATAGGAATTTGATCCCCTACCAACCAAAAAAAAAAATCCTGGCTCCCACAGACTGGTTATGTGCTCATGAGATACACAGATTAGTCCTGTCAATTTAGGAAGGTGCTCTCAACAACAACTCGTTATGTATACACGTAATGACAATAAAATTTAGTAAAACAAGCGCTGGGTAAAATTGGCAAAAATAAAGAGGGAAAAGCTGCTCGAATAAAAGGTAAACCTCTGAAACCTCTTCATAAAATGTAAATATATATATATATGCAGCGCTCAAACTAGCAAGAATCGATAAATATCAATATATAAATGGATAGATAGTATCATAAAAGCAATATGAATCCATAAAAATTAATAAAAACTGATGAGTATATCATATACGTATATCATGAAATATAACAAGTGTAAACTGCGCTACAGGGCGCTAAGGACAGTGATGTGGAACAATGTCACAACTTGGTGTATAAAGTGCATATAGTGACATAAATAATAAAAGTCAATAATTTCGGAAGTCGACAATATAAGGTTGACAATCCGTGACTGCCGTGGCTGTGAAAATAGATGTAGATTGCACTAACCAGAAAGCGCAATCTATTGCGCATTGGAGTAAATTAGGACCAACTCCTGGTCATCTGGGTCTAGAAACATGTCACACAGGAGGTCATCTGGCCAGCAACAACAAGGCAAGAAACACACCATAGGAAGATATCCAGGCTCCAGAGAAGCAATCATCAGCCAGCAGGGGGAACCATTCACATAAGTATATTCCCGGTCACACGGATTCACCTTAAAAAGGGGGGGGGCTTCGTAGCAAACAAGCCAGAGAGAAGAGTCTCCAATAGTGTACTTTAATAGTAATGTAGATAAGCATAACAGGAGGTAATACACATAACGAGTTGTCATTGAGAGCACCTGCCCACAAAATCTTTTTCTTGGGCGCCACCAAGGACAAAACCAATGAGCTGTCAAAAGGACATCAGGGACAAGAATGTAGACCTGCACAAGGCTGGAATGGGCTACAAGACCATCAGCAAGAAGCTTGGTGAGGAGACAATTGGAGCGATTACTCACAAATGGAAGAAATGCAAAATAACCATCAATCACCCTTGGTCTGGAGCTCCATGCAAGTTTTCGCCTCATGGGGTAAGTATGATCATGAGAAAAATGAGGGATCAGCCAAGAACTATATGGGAGGAGCTTGTGAATGATCTCAAAGCAGTTGGGACTAGAGTCACCAAACAAACCATTGGTAACACAATATGCTGCCATGAATTGAAATTCTCAGCACCCACAAAGTCCCCCTCCTCAGGAAGGCACATCTACAAGCCCTTCTGAAGTTTGCCAATGAACATGTACATGATTCAGAGAAGGATTGGGAGAAAGTGCTGTGATGAGACCAAAATTGAGCTCTTAGGCATTAACTCGACTCACCATGTTTGGAGGAAGAAAAATGCTGACTATGACCCTAAGAATACCATCCCTACAGTCTAGCACGGAGATGGAAGCATTATGCTTTAGGGCTGTTTTTCTGCTAAAGGTACAGGCTGACTTTGTTGCATTGAGGGGCCAATGGATGGGGCAATGTATTGTAAAATCTTGGATGAGAACCTTCTTCCCTCAGCCTGAACACTGAAGATGGGTGGTGGGTGGGTCTTCCAGCATGACAATGACCCAAAACATACTGCCCACGCAACAAAGGAGTGGCTCAAGAAGGTGTACCTTAATCCTATAGAAAATGTATGGCGTGAGCTGAAACATTTTACCTCTGTGCTTTCCAGCAACGGTTTCTCCACCATCCATGTTTTGCTTGGGGAACAAATACTTATTTTACTCACTGAACTGCAACTCATTTGTATCATGTGTTTCTTCTGGATTTTTGGTTGATATTCTGTCTCTATCATTTAAAATACACCTATGATAAATATCATAGACCTTCATTTCTTTGGAAGTGGGCAAACTTACAAGATCTGCAGGGGATTAAACAATTATTTCCCCCACTGTAATAACCAGTGTAATTATACTTTTAGAATACAATTACTCTATTTTATTTAATGATTATATTTTGTTTTTCTGTTTTCCCCTGATTTAATACTGTGTTTGTTATGTCAGTCCCTGCTCTGTGTATGATATAGTATAATATCATCAACCAAGCAACTAAAAAATGCATTTGACTGCTTATGCTCACCCATACTCTTTGTGGCAAATTCTTGATGTTCTTGTTCTGATTATCTTCTTACAGGATATTTTACATTAGATCATTCTGTGACCCACTCTACTCTATTCTACTTCTTTTCTTACTATAATGAGCTGTCCCCCTCTATTAACAGATACATTAGCTCTCTGTTAAGCTTCGTTGTGTTTTTCTGTTTACAGATTGTCCTTGCTCCCAGTGGTGGGCTGTACTGAAAGCCCAGTGTTGTAAAAAGCAGTAGCATGCACTTGCTGTGCATATAGGGAACCATAGATTGTTGTTCTAGCAAAGCAAGAGGAAAGATACTTTGCTTATTGCTAATGAAATGCTAGATGTTCTTGCAATTCAACTTTTAATCTTGCCACTTGCGGAAAACCTCCTGTTCTCTTGCTTCCTCCCATTGTTACTATACCATTACTAGGTTATATCCACCTGTGATTGTTGACCAGTTAACATATGCTATACCTCTGTCTTGCTACATTTTACATACCTGCATGGATTATTTGTACTGCAGGTGGTATTTAAGAGAACGTTAATATTTGAACACTTTTGGTGGAATTGTCAGGAATACTGATTTTTTTTTTCATTTAAAAAAAATCAATTAAAAAAAAAAAATTTAAAAAAATGTATAGTATTCTTGACCTTCACTAATTAGTCTTTGATTAATTTTGTGCCCTACGTTTAAAAACCTGTAGAATGTCACATTTCAAATTTCATGCTTCATTTTTAATATTGTCAACATCTTTAGCAAAAGTATCACTGCTTAATCAGTCACATTTGATGCAGTTTTCTTTTCTCCTGCAACTAATACACAGTACATACAGTAAATCAATCCTTTGCTTATTCTTTATGCATATCAGCTGTAGGGGAATATTGGAATTTTAAGTAATAAAGAATTGTAGGCTAAGAATGCTTCACTGAAGGTTAAAGATTATCTTTCCTTGGTAATATACAGTATAATAATGTATGAAAGGTGACTCCTGTAGCTGTAATGAGCTGTTTACTCTAAGGTCCCTGAAGAGGACATGCAACCACGATTTGAGCATGAAAGAAAAGATGTTTAATTTTGGATGCGAAAAGTGTTCTTCGCTGTTAATAGTGAAAATGTGGAACTCTCCTCCCCAGGAGGGGGTACTGGCTGAATGTGTCAACAACCCCTAAGACCTCTCAACAACCCCTTAGACCCCTAAGCCATTTTGTAAAAAATGTTGGCGTGGGGGTTCCCCTCAAAATCCCTACCAAACCCAAAGGGCTTGGTATGAAAAGGGGGGGGACCCCACGTGTTTTTTTATTTAATTTTCTACTTGTCAGGCAATGCCGGCAATTCTTTTTATATTCAGCTGTCAGCGGGGAACCCAGCTGACAGCAGAAACATAGAAGAATGTTTTTAGTAGCTGTGCGGTATCTTACTGCATACTCAGATGTGGTAAGATGCTGTTTAGGGAATTGTCCCTTCTGTTCAAAGTTCACGGTCGAACTTTCGTTAGGTTCGAATGTTTGACTGCGAACCAAACAGGGGGGTGTTTAGCCCATCGCAACAAATAACCAAATAGCAACGGTTAACAGATTATATGGTCACAAGTGGTACGTTGTAACTATGTAACTGCAACACCAGCAGCAGGAGGGGGAAGAAAAGACTTGTTGAATTATCAGCTCCCTCTGTGCCACCAGTGTCACAATAGGAAATGCAAAGAATTATGTAAATATATAGTTAGGTCCATGTATATTTGGATACAGGCACAATTTTAGTTTTTTGCAGGTATTTACCAAAACATATTTAAGCTATAGTTATATAATGGATATGGGCTGAAACTGCACATTCTCAGGGTTAATTTGAGGGTATGTACATCCAAATTGAAGGAAGGGTTTAGGGATTACAGCTCTTAAGAGTAGCCATCCCTCCTTTTTCAAGGGACCAAAAGTAATTGGACAATTGAATCAAAAGCTGTTTCATGGCCATATGTGGGCTACTCCTTCGTTATTTCTTCATCTATTAAGCATAAAAGGTCTGGAGTTGATTCTAAGTGTGGTATTTGCATTTGAAATCTATTGCTGTGAACCTACATCATGCGTCCAAAAGAGCTGTTCATGGAAGTGAAACAGGCCACTGTAAGGCTTCAAAAATGAAAAAAAAATCAGCAGCAACATTAGGAGTAGCCAGATCAATAGTTTGGTACATTCTGAGGAAAGATGACAGCACTGGTGAGCTCAGCAACATAAAAAGCCATGTACATCCATGGAAGATAACAGTGGTGGATAATTGCAGGATCCTCTCTATGGTAAAGAAAAACCCATTCACA